ATCATTAACGAAATATTCAAAGTATTTGAAATCTCAAGCTTCATATGAAATTTCTCTCAAGAAATTTAGAAACACAGAATTCTAAATTTACATTCTATATCTTTGTCTTGCAATGGAAAACACAAGCTTATTTGTTTGCTCTTTGCTAAAATCACAGAAAAAAACTAGTTAAATATACAAATCTAAATTCTAATCAAATCCCAAAATATTTTATCTTCCTAGATATTTCTTCCAACCTCTAAAGCTCTTACTCCAAGATCCAAAATTAATCCAAGTTGCTCTCCTAATTGCCATGTGATGAAAAACTGAGAATGGTAATTACCATTACTTGATGTTCATTAATCAATAATGAAAATCATCTTTGGAACCGCCCACCCAACTCGACCATGAAAATCCTCCCAATATAAAAATAAATATTCCGTATATTTTTTGGAACGTATGGGATTGTGCTTCATATACAAGTAATAGGACACAATTAGGAAAACAACAGCCAATTTCCAAGCACTTCAGCACATGCCTGGCATCTGTTTTTTCCTTTATTTTATATCTACCTAAATTGATATGGATCATTTGGGCTGGGCTTTGTACCCACACTGTAATTTGGGATGCCCATTTTTGTACGATGTTTCTAATGATTTTCTCACTTACCGTCTTACCCACACCTTTTTCTTGGAATTCCCAGCGACGATAATTAAAATTATTTGTTCAAAATGTTAATATATTAGCTTTTTAAGTCTCTAATGCGTGTTTGCATCTCTAGCATGAATCTCCTTCAAGTTCCAACACATGATTTTTTTCTGGAATTTTAATGCATTTACTTTTTCTCCCCTTTAAAGGTATGATCTTTTGCATAATTCACATCTAAATCTAGAAGGCTTGGATGTACTCTTCAAAGTTGCCCAGGTACAAAGGATAATCACTTTCTAACTTCATAACAAACATAAAGATAGAAGTGATAGTCTAAAAAAGAATAAACAATCTGATTAATTAATGACCATATAAGTGATAGCTTACAATGCTTTCAAACCATTGTTTCTAATAATCTGTTTCTTTTAAAAGAACTTCAGATTATGGAAAATTATTTTAACCCTCTACTTTTGAGTAGGGGTAAGGTTTGTGCACACACACCTTCCCCAGACACTACTTTCGTGGGATTCTACTGTGTCGTTATATTTACCTATGATTCTGCTCCTTTTTGTTCAGTTACTTGCAGATGGCGTGATTCCTAATGAGTATGGAATTAACCCAAAGCAAAAGCTAAAAGTTGGATCAAAGGTAAGCTTCTTGTATGTTAAATTATCTCCTTTCCTTTTTTTGCGCTTTACACGTTACACCTGCAATCCTGCATATGAAACAGTTTTCTGTGTTGGTATTTTCAGATCGCTCGACGGTTATTGGGTAAAATTTTGATCGATTTGAGGAACACACGCGAAGAGGCTACTAGTGTTGCTGAGTTGAGGAATAATCAAGAGCAGCAGTCAACCACAAGCAAGGCTGGGGAAGAAGAGACAGAGCATCACCTCAAGCCTCATGTAAGGTCAAAGGAAGAGTCAGAGTATCCTCTCAAGTCTCATTTGAGAACTGAAGAACAACCTAGAACTCCTAGAAGAAATAGTTTCACTAGTGAAAAATCGATGGATCAGGACGAAGACGACGACAAGGAGACCAAGTACCGGTTGGATCCTAAGTATGAACCATGAACTACCTTACAGCCAATTGTATTTCAAAAGCTAAATATCCTACCAGAAAAGAAAAGTCTTTCTTCTATTTCTGTTAGCTAATCAGTATGCAAAGTTTTTGTCAAAGTAAGTAAAACTTTTATTACATGACATGTACTCCATAAAATTTATTTGTTTCAGATATGCAAATGTGAGGACTCCAGAACGGCATGTCCGGACACGCCTTTACTTTACATCAGTGAGTACCTTTATTTAGCACTATCGTATTTTGATCCACCAATAGTTAACATGCCTACCGTGTTCTCACCCAAACTTGGGTTTCCACGTGAATAATTGTGTGATCAAGCTAGAACGGGACTATCGGTGTTTCTTTTTCCAGAAATAGGACTCATTTAATCCCTAAAAACAATAAGGTTATTTTTTAAGATTATAAAAATAATGGTTCTGCTTTTAAAAAGAGGAAACGAACAAATCCCATTCTTTTTTGATCCCATTTAGTGTTTCTCTTGTGAGTGTTCCTTCTTATGATTGATTTCTCGATTTATCTTCACGTCGCAGGAATCACATATTCATTCTTTGATGAATGTTCTGCGATATTGCAATCTAGATGAATCTCTCCAAGGAGAAGAAAGCCTAGTTTGTGATAATGCTTTAGAACGCTTGTTTAGAACAAAGGAGCTTGACTACATGAGTTATATTGTATTAAGGATGTTCGAAAACACCGAGGTTGGCATTCTTACAACTTTTTTAGAGGATTATTATCATATTTTTATAGGTAGAGAGGAAAGGGCTGTTTTCTTTTAACTGATTTCATTATCTGAATTTGTGTACAGGTGAATTTAGAAGACCCAAAAAGGTTCCGCATAGAAATGACTTTTAGCCGTGGTGCAGATTTATCACCATTAGAGGTAAGCCATCTGATGGATTGTGGAGCTTTCATTTGAGGATTTATGACTTATGAGAGCGTTTGGGATGTTTTTTCCCTAAGAAATTTTGCTTTAAAAAGTGTTTTTTAGAGCAATAAATCATTTAGAACACGTTTGGGATGACTTTGAGAGCTGAAACTGATAGAATCAATTTTTCCGAACCATGTGTTGGCACTCTGAGTAGTTGCTACTTGATGAAATTGAGCAGAATTGGTTGAAATAACTGCTTTACCTCTATGTAATACCAACTGTTTGAGTAGCAGTTCTACGAAGCATCTTTTTCTAATTCCCTCACCTATCGTGTGCTTTTTGATATATTAAAAACAAGACTTTTAGTGTATTGATGAGAAAATGCTCTACTATTGTAAAGCCAAGTAATCCCAACAGAAATGTCCCTATGTTTGTAAGGTGTTTTTCTTATGAATTTGCAGAAACAAGACACGGAGGCAACATCATGGCGCCAGGAGCACACGTTGCCAATAATGGGTCCCGAAAGGCTTCAAGAAATAGGATCATGCCTGACACTAGAAAAAGTAGAGAAGATGATTCGTCCGTTTGCGATGCCTGCCGAAGACTTCCCACCACCATCAACCCCTCAAGGATTTTCAGGCTACTTCTCAAAAAGTGCCACAGTTTTGGAACGTTTGGTCAACCTCTGGCCATTTCATAAGCATGGGAGCTCCAATGGAAAGTAGACTCTATTTTGTATACCTAGCTTTCGTTTTTCTTGTTAAACTCGTACAACGTCAGGATTTTTGGTGCACAAGTGTTTTATAGATAGAATAATGTTTTCTTCGACCCTATGAATGCTGTCTAGCAGTCTCATAGTAGGTTCAATTTTGAACCCAAGATCATAGCCCTTTGATATTTTCAAGAATTTCATGCTAGCTATTCATTCTTTGTCTATTTTAACTTCATGTTTTGTTTGAACTTTGATAGATATAGATTACTTTGTTTATGTACATGTAACAAAAAACAATGCATACTTAGAGGTAGAAATTACAAAAGAATGAGATTGCATCTAAATTTTGACCAATTAGACATCCAAATTTGCAAATCCAGACAAACCTCATTGGAAGAAGGCAACCCATCGGGTCAGTGTATGTGGGATTATTGCATTTGCCAAACATGAACCCAACTTGGTATTCATCGTCCCATACTTTTTTCTACTTTCCTGCTTGCATGCCTTAAAATAATTGGGTGACAATTTACTTCTGTTAAGAAATTGAGTATTTATGTGACAAATTTTTCATCCAAACAAAATTTTAATTATTTATTTTTATTTTTCAATATTTACTTGAACTTTAAAAAATCAAACAAGAAAGTTTTATGGGACAAAAGTAGTAGAAACAAAAGAGTGAAAGTTTTTTTTCTTTTTCTTTGTGTCCCACAATTCGTGTCTCCTTTTATTAAAATTTGTTCTTAACCATACTAATTTTTACCTTATTACATCATGCTCATTTAGTAATATTTTACCCATCAGATTCTATTTTTATATATCACATTAAGAGTAATTTGGAAAAGTCAACACAAAAATATCTTTTACTTAAATCTCATAAAAATGAAAACAAGAAAGACTTTGTAGGACGGAGGACGTATTTTTCATATATTGACTACATGAAAGGAAAAAACTAAACTAAGAATAAAAATAAGGAGAATTCCTTAGATTAAAAAATAAATCTACCGAAATAACCTTTGTGCCAATTTGGAAAGCTGCAATATCATGTTATGGTAAATTGAATCAACACTTGTTGGGCATGGCCTTGTACCACTTGTTGGGGAAATTAATGATAACTTGGATGAATCGAGAGTTGTGTGTAAACACTTTCAGATTGAATATTTTGGTTGTTCACTCCAAAATTCAATCGGATAACACTCGAAAGTATCAAGAACGAAATATGAGAATTGCTATGAAAAATCCGAACTAAATTCGACCATGCCCAGCGGGATTTTATAGACTAGGGGTGAGAAGGAGAAGACACCTTGAACCCTGCTCGGGGGCGCTGCCCCCGAACCCCCGCCAAGGGGGCGCTGCCCCCTTGAAACCCCTGATGTAACGGGATTTTTATCGTAACAAACTCAATGAAGCGTGCATTCCGCACCACCAAACTTCATTGATGATTATTAGGATATCATTGGTCGTAGTTTTTCCAATTACACTAAAATATATAACATTCCTCCCCTATTTTAGTGTAATCCTTGATTAACTAAACAAATTCACAGCAAACAACCAACTTATGCATAAATGAAATATCGTGACGATTGAATTTCATCTTAGTACATTACACATTTCAAATATTTGAATATCAGGGTATCACTACGGATTGAACCCTTGCTATTCATTTTGAATACATGAAGATAATATACACAAAAGTTTACATACTTTAATGTTCTAACTTGACACTATTATTTACTAGCCTTGTGTCCTAATCCTTCATAAGCATATCGAAGCGAAGTCTCTACTTCTTGAAGCGGCTAAACTTCATGCTCATATAGGTAGTCCTCTTTATTCTTGCACCTGCATATGTAATTTTTCAAAAGAACTATTAAGAAGACGTACTTCATCCTCCTAATTTTACAGTTCTGAACACATACTTTGGGATAATATACTTAATGTGTTCCAATTTCTAGATGTTAAGATTTTCCACATTGAATTCAGCATCTAATGTCTTATTAGATGGGAATTGGGATTCTTACCATGAGAAATTTAGATAGACTTCGATCCAACCCCTATAGCCGATCTTTGCACAAGGTTTCTACTTAACCCTTTGGTTAAATGATCAGCCAAATTTTGTTGAGTCCTTACAAACTCCACGGATATCACACCACGCATGATGAGCTCTCGAACCATGCTGTGTCTCACACCTAAGTGTCTTGACTTCCCATTGTAATGGGAGATACTGGTTTTGGCCACAATGGAATGTCGTATATCAGATTTCTTAGCCATTCTGCTTCCTTATCGACTGCTGCCAAAGCAACAAACTCCGACTCCATTGTGGAGTTAGTTATGCAAGTTTGTTTCTTTGATGCCCAACCAATTGCTCCTCCACCAGGAAGGAATATCCATCCACTCATGGAAGAGTGATCTTCCATATTAGTTATCCAACTTGCATCCGAGTATCCTTCCAAAAGTGAAGGAAAGTCGGTGTAAGTTAAACCATAATTCATGGTTCCCTTTAAGTATTTAAATATTCGGTTAATCGCTTGCCAGTGATGCGAACTAGGATTGCTAGTATACCTACTAAGTTTCCCAACCGCATATGCTATGTCTGGCCTAGTACTAATCATAGCATACATCAAACATCCAATAGCTCGTGAGTATTCTAGTTGAAATACTGCAACACCCTTATTAGGGAAGAGCTTTAGACTTGGATCAATAGGAGTACTGACCGGAGAACAATCTTTGAAGTTAAACTTCTTCAAAATCTTCTCAATATAATGTGATTGAGAAATAGAAATTTCATTATTCTTACGCTTGATCCTTAAACCAAGAATCACTTCAGCCTCCCCCATGTCTTTCATGGCAAACCTAGATGACAAAAATTCCTTGGTGTTATCAACTTGATTTTGATTAGTACCAAAAATTAACATGTCATCTACATATAAGCAAATTATAACTCCTTGTCTAGAAGCATCAAATCTGCTATATACACACTTATCTGCTTGGTTTAATTCAAAACCATTCGACAAAACAACGTCATCAAATTTTTGATGTCATTGTTTTGGTGCTTGCTTTAGACCATAAAGAGATTTCACCAACTTACAAACCTTATTTTCATTCCCAGGCATGACATAATTAAAAAAGCCATAGAACTATCAGAAAGATATTCAAACATAAATGAAGAGCTAGATTAAAGAGACAAATGAAGGAAAACTAATGCCCCACAGCTTCAATGGTCCATAATAATGTTGAGGAACAGCCTAGAGAGCATGAGGTCCTCATTCCAAACAAATTGCTCTTCATCACAGTGCATACATGGTTTGTTTCTGTGATTCAAAGAACCCAGTGGAGAGTGATGTCTTTGATTCCTGGTAAAAGAAAAAAAAAGAAGAAAACGAAGCTGTTACATAAGAGTCAATTAAACAACATAAGGATCACTCGAGAGCATGTCTTGGACAGCTAAGTCTGTCCCTTTCATTGCGTACTTCGACGTTCCAATGAGTTCTGCTAAATCTTACGGTTAGCTAGCTGCATAGGCGTGAACTTTAGCTATATGGATCATCATCAATGTCAACTTGTCAAAAAGAATTCATTAATTCAAAACAGAAAAATCTGCACATCCCCATATATAGATACACAAGCAAGAACTTAGAGATTTATGTGCTGAACTTGAGCTTCGAAAACCATCTATCTGCAGCTGGAAAAGATTGCTTTTTTTTTTGATTTGATGAAATACACAAGCAAATCTTCAAAAATTTCCCGAAGATCATATTTATATTTAAATAGAAAGAGCATTTAATTAGACAAATTGACATATATTCCCATATATCTATATCTTCGACATTGAATCCCCATAAACCTGATGTGTTGTTCTCAAGAACCTAAGCAGAGAAAGACAAAATTGACAGGGAAATTGTGTGTATATATATAGTAATGATTCTTGATCGAGCTCACAAAAGAAAAGGTACCAATCTTTTCAGGTCCATTGAGTGCGTAGAAGAAGAAGAAGAAGAAGAAGAAGAAGAAGAAGAAGAGTGGGTTTCTTTCAAGCTTGGTATTGTTCTCCAGCCGGTAAAACCCCAAGTACTCAGAGGAAGTGGGGAAGGCAGAAACCAGAAAGCTCTCTCTTCTATAGGTTGTACCTCCGAATCCTTTACTCTAACGAGAAAGGAAACCAAGCCTGGTTGATGAAATATTGCTAAGGGGCTAGAGCGTGAGTAGCATTTGGGCCTTCGAAATTGGGCTCATTAGCAGAGGATCGTTCTCGGTCCACTTGTGGGCCTGGGATGGCCGTGGGCCTGGGATGGCCCCTTAGCTTTCTGACAGGTTTCTATTTTTTTTCCCTTTTGTGTTGTTCTTTTTAAAATTCATATAAACGAATTACAAATTGTTTCTTTCTGTTCCTATTTCTTTTCAAATCCATTCAAATGAGTTAATGAAAAAAGTATTTAGAATGGATTTAAAGAAATTTTTTGTATGATAAGTACATATTTTTTTGTTAAACTTCTTCCGTATTTTTTAAAATAAGAAAGAAATACCCGGCGTGGTCACTCAAAAAGAGAATGAAAAAGTATTTAGAACGGATTTAAAGAAAATAAAGAAATTTTTTATATGATACGTACATATTTTTTGTTAAAAAAGGAAAGAAATACCCAACGTGGTCACTCAAAAAGAGAATGAAAAAAGTATTTAGGACGGATTTAAAGAAAATAAAGACATTTTTTGTATTTGAATTGGGGAAGAAAAGAAGAAATGGGGTCAAATTGAAAATTTTAAAATATATAAAATTCGAATTTGGCCCTAATGACCGGAAGTTAACCTAGAAACGGGCTAATGGCTCATTAGTGAAAGGATTGTGTAAGTTCAGAGATTTTTGTGAAAGAATTTGAAGTTCAGGTACCACTTCGAAATTCCAGCTAAAGTTCAGGTACCATTTGTGAAATTTACCCTAGAAAAAGGCTTCAAGAAATAGGATCATGCCTGACACTAGAAAAAGTAGAGAAGATGATTCTGCCTGCCGAAGACTTCCCACCACCATCAACCCCTCAATTTTGAACCCAAGATCAAATCCCTTTGATATTTTCAAGAATTTCATGCTAACTATTCATTATTTGTCTATTTCAACTTCATGTTTTGTTTGAACTTTGATAGATATAGATTACTTTGTTTATGTACATGTAACAAAAAAACATTGCATATCTAGAGGTAGAAATTCTAAAAGAATGGAATTGCATCTAAAATTTGAACAATTAGACATCTACATTTGCAAATCCAGACAAACGTCATTGGAAGAAGGCAACCCTTCTGGTCAGTGTATGTGGGATTATTGCATTTGCCAAATCATGAACCCAATTTGGTATTCATCGTCCCTTACTTTTTTCTACTCCCATACTTGCTTGCCTTAAAATAATTGGGTGACAATCTACTTCTATTAAGAAATTGAGTATTTATGTGACGAATTTTTCATCTAAACAAGATTTTAATTATTTATTTTTTAATATTATTCTTGAACTTTAAAAAAACAATCAAGAACGTTTTATGGGACAAGAGAAGTAGTAGAAACAAAAGACTGAAAGTAAAAAATAATAGTTTTTTTATCTCACTGTGACGATCGAGTATTTTGATTCCTTCTCAAGAAGATCACGAAAAGTAGTGCTATTTGTCGTCTTTGAGTGCTTGTTTAGTTTTACTCCGTAAATGTTGTTATTAAAATTGACAAACTTTAACAATTACAGTAGTTAAATAAAAATAATATTCGATATTAATATAAAAATGGTTTTGTTATATTTATCTTGTAAAATATTTTTATAATATTGTTTGATCAAGTTAATATACTTCGAAGTATTATGTACTCTCTTCGTCCTATAAACTTTTTTTTTTGTGTCCCACAATCCGTCTCTCCTTTTATTAAAAATTGTTCTTAACCCTACTAATTTTTAACTTATTACATCATACTCATTTAGTAATATTCTACACATCACATTAAGAGTAATTTGAGAAAGACAACAAAAAATTATATTTTCCTTAAATCTCATAACAATGAAAAGAAGACTTTTGTAGGATGGAGGAAGTATTTTTCATATATTAATAAATCAAAAGTTATCCGGGTTGACTGCATGAAAGGAAAAAACTAAACTAGAGAGCGTGTATTCAATTAGGATTTTATTAGATTTCAAATAATTAGTGGATTTGAAAAATTTGTAGAGTCCTTAAATAAAAATGAAATCTACCGAAATGTACAAGGGATTTTTCTGCTCCATTCCCATGGACAACGGACGAAATAAGGAGAATTCCTTGAAGTAAACTAAGAACATTGCAATGAATTCTGCTAAATCTTACTGTTAGCAAGTTCAATGTTAGCTAGCTGCGTAGGAGTGAACTTTAGCTATGTAGATCATCATCAATGTGAACTTGTCAAAAAGAATTCATTCAATCAAAACAGAAAAATCTGCACACCTCCATATATAGATACACAAGCAAGAACTTAAAGATTTATGTGCTGAACTTGAGCTTCGAAAACCATCTAAATGCAGCTGGAAAAGATTGCTTTTTTTTTTTTGGATTTGATGAAGTACCCAAGCAAATCTTCAAAATTTCCTGAAGATCATATTTATATTCAAATAGAAAGAGCATTTAATTAGACAAATTGACATATATTCCCATATATCTATCTTCGACATTGAATCCCCATAAACCTGATGTGCTGTTCTCAAGAACCTAAGCAGAGAAAGACAGGGAAATTGTGTATAAATATAGTAGTAATGATTCTTGGTCGAGCTCACAAAACAAAACGTACCAATCTTTTCAGGTCCATTGAGTGCGTAGAAGAAGAAGAGTGGGTTTCTTTCAAGCTTGGTATTATTCTCCAGTGGGAAGGGCAAAAACCAGAAAGCTCTCTTCGGTTTTCCCACACCGGAATTTTATTTGTGTTTAAACCAAAATATAATGCTAAGCTTTGCTTCATTGGGCACGACCTTACTTGAACAGGATCTGTTCTATAGGTTGTACCTCCGAATCCTTTGCTCTAACGAGAAAGGAAACCAAGCCTGGTTGATGATACATGGCCAAGGGGCTAGAGCGTGAGTAGCATTTGGGCCTTAGAAATTTAGGCTCATTAGCGGAGGATCGTCTCGGCCTACTTGTGGGCTGGGATGGCCCCTTAGCTTTCTGACAGGTTTCTCTCTTTTTCTTTTCAAATCCATTTCAAATGAATTAATAATCAACCTCTCCTTAGAAATTGGGCTCTAACTTTTTTTTCCCTTTTGTGTTGTTCTTTTTTAAATTCATATAAACGAATTACAAATTGTTTCTTTCTATTCCTATTTTTTTCAAATCCATTCAAATGAGTTAATAATCAACCTCTCCTCTTTTTAAATCCATATAAACAAATTACAAATAATTATAAATTAACTCCATTT